TTCATGGCTAGTCTAGCGGTCTCACGTGCGATTACGTAATTACCGACAATAAATTCTGGTTTGGCGCGAAAATAAACCATTCTTGCTCAGTTTTTCAGCGGAGCCGCGAAGAGCTGGTCTCTTTTCCTTTGGAAGATACGACCCACGCGATTTTCTTGACGATTTCCTGATGGCTGAGGGTCAACCTCCGGAGCCGAACGTTCAGTTACTTGTCGATCCTGTAGAGCCAGTCGTGAATCCACCGGTCGTGAACCCGCTATTTGTGAATCCGCCGGTTGTGAATCCACCGGATGGCAACCAGAATGTTAATGTCGCTCAGCCTCAGGAACTGGAGGTAGTTCTCTTTTAGTTGTTATGAATTTTTTCGTGGCATATTTCTCTTGTCTGTCGTATCTTTCAGGTTCTTCAGACAGCATGGTGGAGACAATAACGGAGAGCTTTTTTGGCCCGATCGCGGCATGTTATCGAAATCTTTTCGGAAGATTGTCGGGCTATTCCGCGTGGCTAGTTAACGGACTGGCGTTCGGCGTCTGGCTTGTGGCTGGAGGAACGCCGTGGATTCGCTTATTTTGTATTTCTTTCGGACTTTGTGGTCGTTGGATGGTTACAAAACCGTACGAGCGAGGTGGCCGATTTGTTCGGCGGTGGCTAGTTGACGGATTAGCGGTCGGCGTCTGGCTCTTGGCTAGAGGAACGCCGTGGACTCGCTTGTTTGTATTTTCTTCGGGCTTTGTGGTCGTTGGATGGTTACAAACCGTACAGGCGAGGTGGCCGATTTGTTCGGCGGTGGTTGGTTGACGGACCAGCATTGGGCGTTTAGCTTTTAGCTAGAGGAACGCTGTGGAGTCGCTTATGGTAGAAGCGACGTGGCCGTTTTGTTCGGCGGTGACATCTAGCTTTTGGCTAGAGAGACGCCGTGAATTCGCTTATTTGTATTTCCTTCAGCCTTTTTGCGGTCGTGGGATGGTTACGAATGGTGACAGCGAGGTGTCATTTGTGTTTTGTCTTTTCCTTCGGCTGATGTGGCCTTTGGATGTTTTTTATGAGTTATGATAATGGGTCATCGTTAATTGTTGAACGTTGCTAGGTCGTCTTACTTGTATTTTCTCCTTTGGCTGAGCCTGCCGAAGGATGTTTATACATGGTAACGCGAGAAGTTACGTGATGTTTTTGTTTTTTCACGAGGCCTGTATGAGGTTTTTTTTTTTTTTTTTTTTTAATGCATAACACCAAGTGCTTCGCACATTGAGGTGGGCGGTGATTAAGAGTCTCTTTGTTCCTTTGCAGAGATTGCGTGAGGAGGTGAGACAGTTAAAGCAGTCAGTGGAGGCAGTAACCAACGCGTCGCCTGAGAAGCTCGTGGAACAGATCTTGGCTTATGCTTCCCGCCCGTTGACAGAGTTTAACAAGTATGAGGTGCTTGAGATGTTGGAGACTCTGCATAACAAGGCCGCTGACCGTAATCATGACAGGAAGAACTACTATCGGCTCGTTCATCAGTCGGCGAGGGAAAAGGTGGAGTTGTCGAAGGACCACTTCAAGGACCTTGTTATGCGCCTATTAGGAGACAAGGACCACGAGAGGGTCCTGGATATCGTTTCTAAAGTAGAAAAGAAGTCAAATCGCAAGAAGCCTCAAGCTAACGACAACAGGGGTGCTGGTGTGGCACGTCCGTCTCGTCTATTTTCTTTGCGATGTTATTTTTGTCATAGGCGAGGTCATATCAAAGCTGATTGTCCTGATTTGAAGTCCAAGCAGAGGAAAACGGATCCCGAATCAGACAAGTAGCTTGTGTTTAGATCTCGTTAGATCGCACCGGTGTTATAGGTTGAAGGCCGCCTGGACAAGGCTGTGTGTTGTAATATTGCTTAATTCTTTGCGATAATAAACAAACTTTTGTGTGTATTGAATCAATCTAGTGCATATTTTACTCTGTCTATTTTGTCAACATAGTTATAACGACTTTGAAAAAGGGGTATCCTTGAGACAAGGGCCCTCCAGCCTCGCTGGTCTTAGCTGTTATTTCTCTGCTGACTTTGACGAGGATGATTTTAATATGGTCTTAGATTTTTCGGCGATTCAGTGTTTAAAGGTGTCTTCACTACCCCTTTTTCCTAGGGAAACATGTGGTGTTGGGAAAAATCTGACTCCTTTGATCTTCGACTTCAGGAGTTACAAGCAAAGAAATTGAGCTTCCAATGTCCTGGGTCGATTGTTTCGGTAACCCCGTCGAGGTCAGTGGAGAAGTGACAGCCTGTGACCGTGTTAGATTACAGAGAATACAGAGGGGAGAGTTAATTGGTGATATTTCGGAGTTATTGTTCCGTGACCCAAATTGTTTTCGAGCTGGAGAATTGCATAGCCATTTCGAGTATTGGCAGTACATTGCGCGAGATAGCTCGTCACCCCAACAGGCACAGATTCTTGGGTGGATAAGGGACAAGGTCTCGATTAAGCCGTTTTTCAAGCATTTTAAAGGAAGTTTTAAAGGAGAATTGTTCGATTCAGACGAGCCTCCGATGAAGGTGTTTAAGAACAATGTCTCTTGCAAGCCCTTTGTGTCATTTGTGGAGGAAACGTTAGTTGCGCGCTTGAGATCTGGAGCTATTTCGCTGTTGGGGAGAGTGGGTGTGGTTGACCCTTCATTTATTGTTCTTCCCCTTACAGTTGAGCCAACAAGGCCAAGGTTATGTCACGATGCGCGCTATCTTAATTTATGGATGCGTGATATGCCTTTCTCTTTAGACAGGCTGATAGATTTACCGCGTTACGTGGGCAAGGATACCTACCAAACGGTCCTAGACGATAAGTCTGGCTATGACCATATTCTTCTTTCTGAAGACAGCCCGCACGTATTTTGGGATCCAATGGGGAGGGTGGTATTTCACGTATAATACCCTTCCTTTTGGGTGGAAGATCTCCCCGTTTGTATATCATACTACTGGCCTGTTGGCTAGTAATTTCCTTAGAGCTACAGGAATCCCTTGTTTGCTCTACATCGATGATCGACACAATGGCGAACTGCAGGTGGCATTCGATAAGGGGGAATACGCTACTATTAACACTGTTGATGATCGTCATCTTGCGGCGGCTAGGTCGGCTATATTTCTTGTTGCTTACCATCTTGTCAGCTTGGGCTATTTCCTTGGTTTGTAAAAGTCAATATTGTTCCCAAGTAAAGTGGTTCCCTACCTTGGTTTTTTAGCGGATTCTTCTAGGGAGGTGTTCTGCTTAAAGCCGGAAAAGAAGGAGAAATTCTTGCAACTTGTCCGTGAAATACTCCATGCCTCTAAGGTTACGGTGAAAACCTTGCAACGCCTGGTTGAGAAATGTGTCTCGTTTAGTCTAGCAGTACCTGCAGCCCAGTTGTTTACGAAGCAGATGAATGCAGCTATTGCCGGTGGCCAACGTACTCCCCACAGGCTAATACCCATCAGGGGGGATCTGCGTGAGGAGATCTCCCATTGGCTGTTTTTGGAAGGTTGGGATGATCCGGTAACATGGCGGGATGAACGTCATATTCGTGTGTCTGTTGCAACTGATGCTTCCGCATCAGGCTGGGGTGCTATTTTGTTAGCCCCTCATCGTGAGGAAATATCAGATTATTGGACGGAAGAGCAGTGCAAATGGGGGATCGCCGCGAAGGAAGCTACTGCGGTCGACATGGCGTTAATGGCTTTTAAAGACAAACTGTTCAATGCTAGAGTTGACGCTTTTGTTGACAATGAGGCCGTTGTCGAGGCTTGGAACAACCAGGGTGGTAGAAGCTTGGAGCTTAATATGGCATTGAAACGGCTTTTCTTCACAACGTCGAAGCTTAGCTTATCTCTGCACATGTCTTACATTCCGACTGGTCAGAATCCTGCTGATGCTCCATCAAGGCGCCTGTCCCACTCAGATAGTAAATTGTCGGATGGCTTGTGGCAGATTGTTCAGAAGGAGTTTGGTGGTAGGGAAGGCCATACTTGCGACCTTATGGCCTTGGATTCGAATAGGATGACGGATGCGCACGGGTATTCTCTCCCTCATTTTACGCCGATTCCCTCTCCCGGATCGTCTGGTGTAAATCTCTTCACACAGGACCTTGCTTCCCTCGGAGCGCTTATGGCCAGACCGTATGTTTTTCCTCCCATGGCTTTAACGGGACCTGTCTTAAAATTTCTGCAGAGTTTTAAACAGTCGTGCACAGTAGTGGTGCTGGAGGTGTTTCCCAAGAAGTACTGGTGGCCTCTCCTTATGAATAAAGCTGTAAAGAGTAGATGTCTGGCTGTTCGTGGCGATGGCAACGCTCTCTTGGTCCCGTCCAAAAAGGGGTGGCTGCCTCACAACGGCATTCCTGGAGATCTCTGGGTTTTTGCAGTGTGTTTTTAGGTGTGTCTTGGCATACATTTTGATCTGTTGTGCTACTGGTTTGTGGTGTATGATAGGGTCTTCTTTTCTGGTTTGTAGGAGCTTCCAGTCATGGCAAAGCTGTTTGTCCAGTCGGTTAAATGCCCAACCTGTGGACACGCTAATAATTTTGACTTCCGTTTTTGTCAACGTTGTGGCTACAATCGAAAGGTTATGACAACGCTTGTCAAGGAACACTCTGATGTTATCGTTGACCTTGATGGAATTGAAGTGCGGTTGCAGCAGTTACTTCACTGCGATCAGGCAACCAGTTATAAAAAGTATTCTATTCATATTCATTCATATTCATGCTCAGTTCTAATAAGGTATGGGAAAAAAGATTGATCAGCGCCCAACAGCCCTCACTGTTCCTTAAATAGTCTTAGATAATTGCACTCCGACTCTCAAATCCTCTTACAACTTCCCAATCCTCAATTCTCCAACCTCTCTCATAACTTTAATCCCCAAGTACAGTAAGACACAGCTATACGTTTACAATTATAATCAAACTAAACTAGTATGAGTTTCCATAACAACATCTCTTTATTAAAGAAACGATAGTACAAAGGTTATAATCCGTTCCAAAAACACCCTAGCCAAACAACGTATCC